GGGGTTACGTTCTCAGAGGACTTAAGACTTTGCCTTGATCCCACAACATCGGCGGAGTCGTCTGGAGTGGTGTTCGCAGCCAACTCATGGTTTAGACTGGATGTATAGTGTACGATGATCCTGCTTCACTCTTGAAGCTGATGACCACCGTGTTCGTGTCTGGAGAGGACGGGGCCAGCGATCCAAATCAGCCTTTGTCTTACAAAGGCAATCACTGGTGTGATGGTGTGGGGCGCTATTTCTTATGACAGCAGGTCATCTTTAGTCTTTCTCCGTACATCTTTAACAGCTCGACGATATGTTGATACCATCCTGCGGCCGGTTGCATTACCTTTCATGGCACGCCATCCTGGGGCAATTTTTCAACAATACCGCTCGCATATCTCTGGACAGTCTCCGTGCGGTTGATACTCTTCCTTGACCAGCAAGGTCACCAGACCTTTCACCAATCGAAGATGTCTGGGACATGGTAGGCCGCCGATGGGGCATCACAAAATATCGCAGATATGAAGCGAAACTGATGAATGCCTGGCAGAATGTGTCACAGATGACATTAGGAACCTCTACCACTCTGCCCTCGATCAGCTGCATTGCCGCCAGGGCGGTCGACCAACTTAATTTGAACACTCAGTGGGTTGATGTGAGCCGTGCACAGTACTTGCCTTAATTTTTTAATTGTCTTATTATTTGTGTATGAGCTATACACATATTTAATTTAATCAAAAACAAACACTTCCTTCGTGGTGCTTCGATTTTTTTTGCAAAGAAGTGTATATAATTGTTTTACACATAGAATGTATATAATAGTTTTGATTATAATTATTAACATTATTTATGAAGGACCCAACTCAGTTCTGGAAGTCTTTATACTCCTCTTTCCTCCACATCCTAGATCGTTCAAAATTTAGGTTAAAGAATTGGTAAGGAATTTTATGCTAATTAATCAGTTACTTAAAATTTCAGCTTTTGCTATTACTTCTCCTTTCCAGATTCATCAACAGACGGCAAATGAACTGAGATTTTCAGATTTTAAGCAAGAACATGTTTCTGGCATCGAGTGAGAACAATAGTTGTTAGTTTTCTGCCACCTGTGATAGTTGTAATCGCGTTGAGTTGCTCCGACATTTTGATTCTGACACTCTGATGGAGTAGTGAGCTAGCTTCCAGTAATATTTAAGTGTGTAATACTCGACTGTGTTCAAGTTTGATTTAAATTTGACTGGCCTGTTAAGTTGCGTCATGACGAGTTGTGGCTTATATTGTAGCACAAGAGGGGGCCTTTTGTGTTTTAAATTCTGTTTAAATAAAAAGGTGATTTTTAACCTTGTTTCAGACATAGCTATATTTTGCTTCATGTCTGTTAGGGTAACAGAGCATGTTAAATCCTAGAAATTCTATTAAAAATAAAAGTTTAATTTATTCTTTTTAATTCCAAAAGAAAGTTTTGTTGATTTTGTTATAATTTTAAACAATCGAAAGCTTCTCCACAAATTTTATGGGAAATTAAAACAAGGAAAGTCATTTAGAATTTTTTTTTAGAATCATAGACCATTTTTCAATAAACTATCTGATATTTTCAGTACAACTCTTTCAATTGATTCAAGATTCTGTATAGAAGACCTTTAGAAACTCTGCATAAATTTTTATAGAATCTTGTCCAAATCTCTTAAACTTATACCTCTATATAAAACTCTATAGAAACTATGTCTAAATTTTTAAAAATTACTATTGAAAAATCACTGAAATAGTTTAGAGAAAAACGGGTCTAGTTCTAAAGAATTCTAGAAACGTTTTAACACTGGATTTTATTACAGAATTCTAAAGAAATTTTCTTAAGAGGTATGTGTACAAAGTTACAGGATTAAGTTTTCTTAAGTATCCCCTGCAAACGCGTCAGACTACTGGGAGCAACACACTTTTGCCATAGACGGGAAAAACAACAAAGTTTTTCAAACGAATAATAACTGAAGATGGAGTGTAATGATCCTGAGGCAAAATGGCAACCATCTGGTTCGGTTTGTGGAACATAGTTTTGCCATAGACGGGAAAAACAGCAAAGTTTTTCAAGCAAATTGTGACTGGAGATGAAGCGCGATGATCCTGAGACAAAATGGCAATCATCTTAGTTTGGTTGTGCAATATTAGTTTTGCCAGAAACGGGAAAAACTGCAAAGGGTTGTTTCAAACAAATCGTGACTGGAGATGAAGTGTAATGATCCTGAGACAAAATGGCAGTCATCTAGTTCGGTTTGTCCAATATAGTTTTGCGATAGATGGTAAAAACAGCAAAGTGTTTCAAGAAATTGTGACCGAAGATGGAGCGTAAATATCCGGATACAAAATGGCAGTCATCTAGTTCGGTTTGTGCAATATAGTTTTGCCATACACGGGAAAAACAACAAAGTGTTTCAAACGAATCGGTGACTGGAGGTGGAGCATTATGATCCGAGACAAAATGGTAATCATCTACTTAGGTTTGTGAAGAATCACCGCAACCACAGAAGCTTCATTTTCAGAAATCTCGGGTAAAGCCTTTTTTTGAGTGGAAAGGGAGAATTTACAAGAAACTTCTTGCCACGGTGCACACTCTATATTTTATAATGACGTAATTGATAGACTTCTGAAGATAATCGATTAGTTAATGTTTGCTGCAGTACAATGCGTCTTTACGCAGTTTCATTCAGTTTCTAACGAATAGAACTGCATTTAGTCCAACGAATGGAACTGCGTAAAGATGCATATTAGTCACCATTCTCCTCCTTTATACCAGATTTGGCACTCCTTTATACAGACCATTTTCCGTTGTCTATTCTTTTTCCTCTGTTTTAAAGTTTTAAAGTAAATTCTGTTATAAAACAGAATTTTGAGGGCTAATAGGATCGTTGGCTCAATACAGCGAGCATCTTAAATATTTAAACTGCCTTTACAGTTCAATGATCAAAGGATAATCTACAGATTTGTCAAAAGGATATACTACAGCTTTGACCAAAGGATAACCTACAGATTTGACCAAAGGATAATCTATAGCTTTGACAAAAATATAATCTACAGCTTTGACCAAAGGATAATCTACAGATGAAATGATTTTCAGTTGAACTGAAGAGTTTGCAAAACTTTTATTACCGTATTTATCGTAATTTCAGTAATATATAATATCGGAATAATGACAAAGAAATGAAAATATCATTTAAAATCATCGGGGTTTTAAGTTGTAATAAACTTCAATCATTATAAAATTTTCATTAATTTATTAATAACAAGAGTTTAATATCTGATTGTATACAACGTGCATCCTCTGTTATGAAACTGCAAGAACTAGCGTCACGTTTAAAAGAATACTCTTAGATGTATTAAAACTGGAATGGAAGATATTTGAGCTAGAAACAGGACTATCCTATTAAACAATTTTATCAAATAGACTGATGAAATGATTTCAACTAAATTCAGAAATCAGTTTATAGGATCTATCTCTCTTTGCCTACATAAACTAAACTAGACACTACTAATGAACCTGGTGACTTCTCACGCAAGCGTGAAATATTACCAGCACAGAAGAAGGGCGAAAATATCCCTTTATTATTTTCCACTACTTTTACTATAACAACGACAACTTGCGGTGGAACTTAAGCGTTGTTACATAAATCAAATCAAGTATAAAAATAATAGTGCTGGATAGTGCTCTATAAGTACATGCTTGAAATTTTTTGTGTAACTAAAGTATACCTATCTCATTGTACTCAAACTGAGCTTTTGAAATATTTTAAATTTTAGAGTAATTTATAGAATATTATATTAGCCACAGTAAAATTAAACACTTTTCTCACAAAAAATAAGTGTGAATTTATTTTTCTTAGTTTATCACAAAAAGCAACATTTCAATAAATATTGAGAAACATGATAAATAGACCATAAAAATTTCACATACCTGTGAGCAGTAGTTCCTGAGAAAAGGCACACTGCGGGGAAAAAAGGGGACACAGTTCTATATACCCCGTTCTATTGGGCCGATTGACGAAATTCAACTTGCCTTTTTAAAGTCTCGAAAGCGCGACTTTGGATATATATTAGATTTATATACAGCTTTGTTCTAATATAGGTATTTTTACATAAAATCGGACTTTTTCTGAAAGGACATGCCAATTTTTTCCCCCATATTTCGATTCTACGATTCAAATTATGGCAAACTGCCGTGTGTTATAAAAATCGCACTTGTAAGTTTTTGAAAATTTAGCTCTCAAAATTTTAGGTCCTCAGTGTAAATTGAATTTGATATATATATCTTTCTTTATTCAACTATTTTTTTATTCATAAACAATGGGTCAATTATTTGGAATGAACCTAAATTTCGAACTGTGTAAGAAGGAATAAAAGAAGTTTCTGAAAAGAGAAATATTAATAAAGGCATATCCTTTCAGATAAAGTCCTATTTTGTGTCAAAATACCTATAGTTGAAGAATGCTATATATAAATCTAATGCATATCCTAAGTCGAGCTTTCGAGACATGTGAAACGCAATTTGAATTTCGACAATCGGCCCAGTAGAACGGGTAGAACTGTTAATTTTTTTTTCTAATTTTCACAGAGATTAAAGTATGATATTTTTTAGAAAGCTAAAAGTTGTAGAGAATTTAGAAATGCAAAAATCCCAAATCACAATTTTTTGAAGATTTTTGGCTTTTAACACCCCTTAAACACCCACTTAAATTTAAATTAGCATCCTTTCGAGGAAATGCGAGGTGAAGTTGAGCAGTTCAGGAAAGATAACAAAATTTTAATAATTGGTTATTTGAACTAAGGGAAGCCCTGCAAGTTTTCAAAAACTATACTTACTATACAATTATACTACTTAGAAAGTTATACCCCTTTCAATCGTCAGCAGTAGGAAACGATACGCACATAAAGTTTAATTTGACTTCTAGGAAAAGTTCCTGTTACAGTGCAACATATCTGCTTTGGTAATAGGCAAGACGTAAGTAAGAAGCATAAAGAAAGGATCTCACCAGCCCGACGAGAATAAAAAAGACGATGAACCCTCTACCTAGAGTCGTTTGGCAGTAGATATCACCGTAGCCAACCGTGGACATGGTGACAATCAGGAAGTAAACACACTCCCAATATGTCAGCTCGTGAGGATTGGAAAAGTGTAAGGGATCACCTGAATTTTCCAGCTGTAAAAAAAGAACAAACACTACAATGAAATAAGCAAAAGGCGAAAGGATTTATGTTGTGCATGTTACTGGATGCCGTTTATATATATGGTAAACTTGGGAAATATGGGCACCGAAACACTTACTCTAGCTATATATAAAGAAAATCTGTGTTCGCTAATAACTCAGTCACTACTATAGCTATTGTCACCAAACTTTCTACAGTTCTTTTCTGTGTCATGAAAAAGTTCGACGTCCATTTTTTTTATAAGAAAAAAATCTGATGTGTACACCACATGACTTCCTTGTACGAAATATTAAATTATACGCATTTTTTCTTGCATTTCATTTAAACTTATTGGAGTGAATTAAATCTACTTCGCTGACAGCGCATAAACCACAATAGAATAAATGCATTCTTTAAAATTCACTCTAGTATTTGTTTTACCATAGCGACAACTCTGGCGCTAGGATTCACTTAACAGTATTATTTCGTTCATATTATAACTCATAATGCACAAAATTATATCATTTTAAAGAATAGAATTATCTAATCGTTGCCACATGTTCTATTCAAATACTATAATAAAGCTAGAATGATGTATATAAAGAAATTAAGCAAACAAAACCAAAAAATGAAACAGTTTTCACAGACGATGAGTATTTCTCATTCAATGAATTCAGTTTTTTCACTTCGCGACAAGGCAAAAAAAAAAACAAAAAATCAAAATATCTATATTAAAAATTGCGAAGTAAATCTTAAACATTTATTTCCTCGAAAAAATTCCAGTAAGGATTAAGCATGATTTAATTGGCAATAATAAATGAAGGCGTCATCTTTGTTGTTGCGAAGCTAAGTTTCTCTAGACTGGCAACAAATCCACTAGTCTGCTGTTTCAAATGTAAACAATCAATGACCGCCATAAAACCGGAAGATAAAAACAACATAATTCAATCATTTTTAAAGCAAAAAATGTACAATTTACAAACATATAAGAGTAAAGAACCTGAGATCACTGAGCCGGGTAACAGAGTGGATATATTTATAAATATATTTATATACATTTGGTGCGACCGATTGAAACCAAAATACGAGGTGCACATCTGCATGTTATAGCAGTCCTACATACAAAATTTCAACATTCTGAGGCTACTCGTTTTTGAGTTATGCGAGATACGTACGTACATACGTTCGTACAGACGCGACGAAAAATTCTCTTCAGAATTCATTTTAAAGCAGTTTTATAATTTTTTTTGGAGGAAACGAGTCTTTTATTCTGTCCTTACGTACATATATCAAGCAAAAACATCGTTAAATTGCATTCGATAGCGGTCAAAATGGTTTTCGTTAAAATATGCTGCCAGAAACTTTTCGCGATTACAATACTTTCTTTTTACTTCGTACAAGGAAGTAAAATAGCTAAAATCATATATATTAATTAAAAACTCGGTAAAAACGCTAACTTTCGCCCTCATTTTTCTGAGTGGCAACAGTCTGGCACCCTGGAGATGAAGCCGAATCAATGCATTTTTACCAACGAGATATAAGTTTATTTATGCCGGTAGAATAAAATTCTGGAGTTCTGGACGCGATAAAGTTGTCAAAGGCGTTTGGCTAGTTGGTCTCTGAAGCATTTCTGCAGAATGTTATCCAGATGTTTGGAAAAGTGGTAATCGGTTGGCGAGAGGTCAGGCGAATATGGGGGAAGAGGGAGAGTCTCGTGTCCCAATTCGTCCAATTTCTGTAGTGTCAGTTGCACGACGTGCGGCCGATCATCGTCATGGAGAAGAACTGGCCGCTTTCTGTTGACCAATGCCGATCACATGCATTGCAAGTTTTGGTCCATTTCATTGATTTGCTGACAGTACGTATCTGCCGTAATCGTTTCGCCCAGATTTAAGAAGCTGTTTTGGATGAGACCGGCCTCAGACCACCAAACAGTCACCATAATTTTCTCTTGGTGAAAATTTGGCTTAGGAAAGTGTTGTGACGACGAAACTTTTGGTATCACCATTGAACTGTAGATTCATTAACACTTTTCTCACCCCATGCTTCGTTGACATTTCGAGCCGTATTGTGCTGCGCTGTGGCCTAGCTTGTACTCATAAAAGTAAATTTGCAGAAAATCCCGTTTTGAAATCTAAACAAAAACACTTAATAAATATTTTTGAAAATAGTTTTGGAACAAAATGATTATTATAGATATATAGAGCGAAAATAGAGCTTTAAAATGATATATAAACCAATGTAATTCAAAATATTTTTCTTGCTAAAAATGTAAAGATAAAGAATTGCAAAAACCTGCATTATTTTCCGGACAACCTGATATTAATTAAAAACGCTGAAAGTAATTTTCCACTCATTTTTCCGAGTAGCAACAGTCTCGTGCGTCGGAGATAAGAATGCTTTATTTCGAAAAGTGTTGCCACCGCTCGCTTTCAAATCGTCTCTCTATATAAAGAAGAATGTGTGTTTGTTCGCGTTATTGATTTCTGATCAATTATGATTAATTTTTTGCCACATTATTCGACTGAAATTGAATATAGGTGAAATATAGGATAGAACTTGAGCTTTTACGACCAGGGACATTAGATATTTTTTGGCAAACAGGCAAGATGAAAAATTAGCAAAGCCTTCGTAGGGAATCGAAAGGTGGACCTTTGGAAATATACGCTCAGCGTGCAGACCACTACACCACGAAGGCATATTAAGAAGACGGGAGAAATACTTTATATACTCCCCCCTTTTAAAGGGCGACTGGGATTTTTAGGGGACACAATGCCAAATCCTGGGTGAGGAGAATCATGATCCAACACCCTTTTAGTTAGGGCGCCACTGTAGTGAGATTAGGTAATTTTTGGAAGCAGGCAAGATGAAAAAATTAACAACGCCTTCGCCGGGAAACGAACCATGAAGTCCTGGAAATACGCGCCCAGCGTGCAGACCACCATACTGCGAATGCATGCCAAGAAAGCGGGAGAAATACCTTATACGTAATATCATTAAAAACTGCGTGCCATTATTGCTGATATAATAAGAGAGAAATAGTTTATTTTTGTACTGAAATTTTTTATGTGGGTTTCATATCACATCCCACTAAAAAAATGTCTCAATATGAATCGTATTTTTTGCATCGTTATTAAAGAAGGATAACAGCGGTATCGTTCTCTCTGTTGTTAGATACATTACTCTCAATGTAACTTAACTGGCATCGGGTACTTCCGCAGTCGTATTTTAAATGAGCAATAAGAAATCGTAAATAACATGATAATTACACCTTAGCGACACAAGTTAAAAAGATTAATCAGTTTTATATAAACAAACGAAGAAACTAAATATTCTGGCAATTATAAGTATTCAATGTTAGACACAATAACACCCGAAATAATACTAATTCGAAGTAAACAACAAAATCAGCGTTATACCTACAAAATTTTCACAGGACTAGTTTTTAGATGGTTTTCCGAACCTCATCTCAGCTGCAAAACCGCAAAGAACAAGTAGGAAATAATGATTAGATAAGATAAAAAGCTGGACAAGAATAAGCAAGTGGCGCCATCTGTGGCGAAACCAGAACTAAAAACATAATTTCTCTAAAAGCCGAAGGCAAATTTTGGATTGTGGATTAGGATCGTAATAGAAACAGAAAGATTTATGAATGTGAAATCTCTAGAAATCCATTTCCAATGGAAGATGTTTTTTGAATAATTTTGGCAGCAAAAAATTGAAGTGGGATTTTCGGACCAACAATTTGAGCAACAGAAGACTTCTTGTTTCCTTTTCTAACATATGCCTCATGTTCTTTGACGAAATTTTAAGGCTCTCTTAGTTTGGCCAATGTAAATTAAACCCACTGCACGGAATCCTATAAATACCCCAGGAATTCATATCCGGAATGGGGTCCTTGAGTATAGAAGTTAGAATTTTATTGATGGGAGAATAACAACCCGAAAGTTAATTCTGCAAAATACGTGCACTTTATAGCTAATTGAAGAAGGGAATGACAAACAGAATTTTTATAATCTCCTAAAATAAGAGTGGGGTTTAGTGGTTCAGATGAGAAATTATGTTTTAGTTTCGGGTCGCAACAGATGCGCCACTTGCTTATTCTTGCCCAGGCTTCTTATCTTATCTAATCATTATTTCCTATCTTGTATCATTTGCGGTTTTGCAGCTGAAGATGGTGGTTCGGTAAAACCATCGAAACTAGTCCTGTGAAAATTTTGTAGGTATAACGCTGATTTTTGTTGTTTGACTTCTGAATTATTATTCAACTGTTGTTTGCTTTCGCTAGAAAACCGCATTACCGAAATATTCTCTTTAAAACTATAGGTTGATTTACTAACAAAACATTGACGAATCTTTAGCATGAAGTGCATTAGAAACTCATTTATAAGAGATAAGGATTACATTTATGTCTTTAAACCTATTTTGAAATATTAAGAGTTTTAAATTGAACTGACAAGCTGTTTTTTAATTTCTTGTGCGAAGCATTGTAATCCCGAAAATTTTCGGGTTTCATGTTTCAGAGAAAATATCGATTTTGATCTCTATCGAATGCAATTTAACGATGTTTCTGCGTGATATCTGTATGTAACACATAGAATACAGCACTCTTTTTCCAAAAACTGATTTATGATGGAGGTTTTTTTCGTAATGTCTGTACGCACATATGTACGTATGTATGTATCTGACATAAAAATAAGTAGCATCAGAATGTTGAAATTTTGTATATAGAACTGCTATAAGATATATATATATATATAGTTGTACACCTTCCTTTTCAGTTGCAATCTGTCGCACCAAAAGTATATAAATATATATACCCACTCTATTACTCGGTTCAATGAGCTCAATTTTTTTATACTTACATGTTGGTAAATTGGCATTTTTTGCTTTAAAAATGATTTAATTTTATCGTCTTTATTTTCCGGTTAAGGTTTGTATCCCTTTAGTTAATCTGCATGCAATAATTATAGAATTATCAACAATTTAAAAGCTGTTTAAGTGCGGATAAGTC